TGTGTCTGTGTCTGTGTGTGTGTGTGTGTGTGTCTGTGTCTGTGTGTGTGTGTGTGTGTGTCTGTGTCTGTGTGTGTGTGTGTGTGTGTCTGTGTCTGTGTGTGTGTGTGTGTGTGTCTGTGTCTGTGTGTGTGTGTGTGTGTGTCTGTGTCTGTGTGTGTGTGTGTGTGTGTCTGTGTCTGTGTGTGTGTGTGTGTGTGTCTGTGTCTGTGTGTGTGTGTGTGTGTGTCTGTGTCTGTGTGTGTGTGTGTGTGTGTCTGTGTCTGTGTGTGTGTGTGTGTGTGTCTGTGTCTGTGTGTGTGTGTGTGTGTGTCTGTGTCTGTGTGTGTGTGTGTGTGTGTCTGTGTCTGTGTGTGTGTGTGTGTGTGTCTGTGTCTGTGTGTGTGTGTGTGTGTGTCTGTGTCTGTGTGTGTGTGTGTGTGTGTCTGTGTCTGTGTGTGTGTGTGTGTGTGTCTGTGTCTGTGTGTGTGTGTGTGTGTGTCTGTGTCTGTGTGTGTGTGTGTGTGTGTCTGTGTCTGTGTGTGTGTGTGTGTGTGTCTGTGTCTGTGTGTGTGTGTGTGTGTGTCTGTGTCTGTGTGTGTGTGTGTGTGTGTCTGTGTCTGTGTGTGTGTGTGTGTGTGTCTGTGTCTGTGTGTGTGTGTGTGTGTGTCTGTGTCTGTGTGTGTGTGTGTGTGTGTCTGTGTCTGTGTGTGTGTGTGTGTGTGTCTGTGTCTGTGTGTGTGTGTGTGTGTGTCTGTGTCTGTGTGTGTGTGTGTGTGTGTCTGTGTCTGTGTGTGTGTGTGTGTGTGTCTGTGTCTGTGTGTGTGTGTGTGTGTGTCTGTGTCTGTGTGTGTGTGTGTGTGTGTCTGTGTCTGTGTGTGTGTGTGTGTGTGTCTGTGTCTGTGTGTGTGTGTGTGTGTGTCTGTGTCTGTGTGTGTGTGTGTGTGTGTCTGTGTCTGTGTGTGTGTGTGTGTGTGTCTGTGTCTGTGTGTGTGTGTGTGTGTGTCTGTGTCTGTGTGTGTGTGTGTGTGTGTCTGTGTCTGTGTGTGTGTGTGTGTGTGTCTGTGTCTGTGTGTGTGTGTGTGTGTGTCTGTGTCTGTGTGTGTGTGTGTGTGTGTCTGTGTCTGTGTGTGTGTGTGTGTGTGTCTGTGTCTGTGTGTGTGTGTGTGTGTGTCTGTGTCTGTGTGTGTGTGTGTGTGTGTCTGTGTATGTGTGTCTGTGTATGTGTGTATATGTGTGTATGTGTGTGTATGTGTGTGTGTGTGCGTGTAGGGGGTTGCTCAGTGCTCCCCGGTGCAGTCACGCTGAGGTTTTACTGCCGGGACATGTCTCCCTGTGTTGTAATGAAGCAATTACCAATGCTCCCAGACATTGTGGGGCTTCATGAAGCCCAAGAATGCACCCTCGTCTGGCAGTGATTTACTGCTCCCGCGGGACCCCAGGGTGTGCCGCAGGAAGGGGCCGGGGTGGGAGGCAGTGCACAGCCTTCGGGAGCTGCCCCTCACCCTGTGGGTGCCCTTCACATCCCTGCTTCTGGCCTTGCAGGGAGCAGAGGAGAGGAGTGTTTGTCTCCTGTCCCTGTCCCTGGATGGGCACCCTGATGTCAGCCTGAGGAGCAGGGCTGGGTGGCAGGAAGGTATGTGCAGGTCTCAGACAGTGGATTACAGTGGTCCAAGCCAGGCCCAGCTGCATCAAAATCAGAGCAGGGGCAGAGCAAGAGGGCAGCCGTGAGTGTGTAAGGCATGGGAAAGCCCTGCCGTGCTCCTCAGGGAGAGAGGCTAGAAGTGGATGCTGCTCCAAGCAAGGGGAGATGCTTGAAGCACCTTGGACTGGTAAGATCACTCAGTGGGAGGTGAGTTTAGTCCTGCCCCTCTTCCCATACTGGTCCCTGTGCTATGGCAGATGAAGACGCTGGAGCAAGCCCCACTCCCTCAGCCATCACACCTGTTGGTGCCTGGCCAGCCGGAGGTAAAGTGCGTATGTCCATGGGCCATGCAGATGCAGGGGGGTCAAGGTGGAATCCCTGGGGGGATTGGAAAGGGTGTGGTGCCCTGGACACCCAATTGACTGCAAGTACTAGCAGGACTCAGAGCTGAAACCTTGAAGGAGACTCTGGCCCGTGGGAGTGGGATAGGCTCATCTAAAAAGCTGATTTGCAGATGTGGGCTCCCCCAACACAGGGAGGTTTATTCAGTCAAGAAGCAGAGAGTCAGGAAGGGCACATGGGGGACTCTTGCCTCTGGAGTCACCTGTTTTCACCATAACCTGGCAGTGAGGCAGGTGGGATCTGTGCCAGGCAGGGATCTGGGTTGGTAGTGGCATGGTGCCAGAATGCAGAGCCAGACCAGGTGGTGAGTGAAAGGTACTGGCAGATGAGCTGCTGGGTACCCAGGAACAGCTTGTGTTGGAAGAGGCACAGGCACGTCAAGCATGGGGATGCTGAAGGAGCCACCACATTGGTCCAGCCCCACTGCTGGGGTGATAGAGATAAGCAGTGTTGTAGGGACAGTGGTGAATTTGTGAGTCCCTGGCACTCTGAGGACATGGGGCATCCCAGCTAGGGGTGTGGAGCTCCCCAGGGCAACAAGGTGGGTGTCAGAAGCCCTCAGAGGTGCCAGCAGGCACCAGCTTCCTTGTTAGCCTGCAGGGACTGCATAAAGTATACCAGCATTTTTGGGGTTCCCAGCTGCATCAGATGAGTACCTCCCATCCAATATCCTTTTCTATCCAAGGATGCTGCAAACCTCCCATTCCTGGCCTTGGCCTTCCTGGCATTGTCATGGCTGTCCCCTCTTCCCTTGCTGCCACCTGTGCCAGGGGTGGCATGCCAGGGCAGGCTGTCTTGGGGGCAGCCACGTGTCTGGAGGAACTGTCAGAGGAGTGGCATCCCCCCAGGGCCCGGCTGGCAGGGTGGCATGGGGACCTCTGCCAGCTTTGAGCTGTCTGCTGAGGGTTCTGCCAACTCCAGGTGGGAGCAGACGGGTGATCGGGTGGCTTGTGGGGGCAGGAGAGCCTGGGGAGGGGGTGGTATCCCCTTGGTGGCACTGCCAGAAAGGCTCTGGTGTGCCCAGTTCCTGCTAACACCAGAGGGATGCAGGTGCTGCGTGGGCTTTTGGAGGAGCTGCTCATGGAACTGGTGTGCTGGTATCCCTCTTCCTGCAGCCTCCCCAAGTCAGGACAGTGAAGATGGAGGGATGGGACACCCCCCGAAAACTCACCTTTCCCTCCCTCCCCAGAAATCCCCTGCAGGCCACCACCCTGGGCCAGCCCTGCCCTGGCATTTGGGTGGGCAGGAGCTGGGCTGGCATGGAGCAGGGGGAGCGCGGGAGCCCCCCGAGCAGGGCGCCGCACCCCTGCTGCCAGAATCCCCCGCTGGCTGCGGCTGCGAGTGGCAGGTCCGGGCAGGGGAAAGATGCTTGGAATTCGTGTCCTGGAGCAGAGAGAGACAGGAGCAAATACTAATAATAAATAATCCTGCAGGGTGGAGGCTGTGCCGGTGGAGAGAGGGGGGGCAGGCAGCTCCCCATGGCAAAGAGGGTAGTGGGGGGAGAGCAGGCAGCACAGCCTCATCACTGCCGCCCTGCAGAGGGTGAGTGGCACCCTCAGTATCCCTCACAGTGTTTGTTTCTAGGTGCCAGTTTGGAGCTGGGGTTGGGATTTTTAGTGCTTGGAGGGATATTGCAAGGTAGTGTGAGGGAGCTGTGGGTACCACCTGGTCACCTGGGGCCACTTTGCTCTCTGAGCTTCCCCCTTTCCTGTGGGGCAGCTCCCTGACTTGCAAGAGGAGGTGGGAGATTTGTTGCCTCTCCACAGCTGAGGAGGAACACTGGCAGGTCCTGAACATCCCGGAGTCTTCAAATCCACTTGCAGTAGGCAGCTCCTGCTGCAGGCAGCCTGTTCCGGGGTGGGTGCATCACCCAGGGAACAGCACCGAACAAATCTGAAGAGGGAGACGGGGCGTCTGAGCCCCCGGGATATCAGCCAGGGGGTGGTGCTTTGCTTGCTGGAGCTGACCCCGCATCCCGGCCCTGTCCGTTCTCCTGCAGATATCCGTGAAACAGCCTTCGTGTATGCCATCACGGCGGCTGGAGTGAGCCATGCCATCACGCAGGCCTGCAGCATGGGCGAGCTGCTGCAGTGTGGCTGCGAGCTGACACGGAGCCGGGCCCCCCCCTCGCCCACGGCTGGGCCAGGCATGGAGGGCACCGCCTGGGAGTGGGGGGGCTGTGGGGATGATGTCCAGTTTGGCTACGAGAAATCCCAGCAGTTCATGGATGCCAAGAACAAGAAAGGCAAAAATGACATCCGAGCTCTTATCGACCTGCACAACAACGAAGCCGGGCGCTTGGTAAGAGCCCTGCACTCCCCGTGCCCTGCGTCCCTTGTGCCCCTACCCACCCCTCCACCTTCAGTGTCCCCAAGCCACGTACCTGCACCGGCTTTGGCTGAAATGTGACCCAATATCTTTTGGGTATCCTTTGCAGGTGCTTTGGAACCCCCCTCCGGGCCACTCTCCACGCCCAGCCCCTCTCCCGGGCCAAGGCGGCACCAAGAGGCAGGGTTTTGGCTGGGGGTGCTGGGCAGCGAGAGAGGGAACCGAGGGCTGAGCATCGCTGTCTCTTCCTCAGGCGGTGCGCAGCTACATGAGGACAGAGTGCAAATGCCACGGGCTGTCGGGCTCCTGCACCCTGCGGACCTGCTGGAGGAAGATGCCCCATTTCCGCGAGGTGGGGGATCGCCTGCTCGAGCGCTTCAATGGGGCTTTCAAGGTGATGGGAGGCAACGACGGCAAAACCCTCATCCCTGTGGGCGACAACATCAAGCCTCCCGATAAACAGGATCTCATCTACTCGGCCGACTCACCCGATTTCTGCTCGGCTAATCGTAAGACAGGCTCGCTGGGTACCAGGGGCCGTGTCTGCAACAGCACAGCCATGGACACGAGTGGGTGTGACCTGCTGTGCTGCGGGAGAGGGCACCGGGACGAGACGGTGGTGTTGGAGGAGAACTGCCTTTGCCGCTTCCACTGGTGCTGCGTGGTGCAGTGCCGCAAGTGCTCCGTCCGCCAGGAGCTCAGCCTCTGCATCTGACAGCCTGGGGTCAGCCGAGGACAATTTGGGAGGCCACCTCCAGGCTCACGAGGCCCCTCTGGGACAGAGACAGGTGGAGCCAGTGGCAGGGTCAGCGTGGGTGAGCTCAGCTCTGCGCTCTAGGGAGTCCTGGCTTCCCCAGAGGGCAGCATGGGGCTGCCCGGCACCCCCGTGGCCCCCGTGGTGGGAGCTGTGGGCACAGAGCTTCCACTAATAAAGCTATTTAAAGCTGGTGTGCCACAGCGCTTCCTGGGGAGGGCCGAGGAGCGCTGACCTCTGTACTGGAATGGGAGTAGCCAGAGAGCTGTCTTGCCCCAGCTGTGAGTCCCAATCAGTCACACTCCTGCCAGCCTCTGGCCCTGCTGGGACCTGTGGCAAAGTCCAGCTCGTTTTTTATCTACTCTCTGATTTTCTCTGTGGTTGTCAAGCCTGGGGATGTGTGTGGATGAGGGTGAGTACTCTCCTGCCCTGCTCTGCTGCTTCCATTGTGTGAGTGCTCTCCTCCCATCACCCACAGCTGTCATTGATTCGGGTGCCAGCTTGTGTCCCGCCACCATCTCACCTAGGATGTTTGCAGTTCACCGTGCACTCGTGTCTCATGCCAGAGGTACATCTAGCTGCCCTGACACTATGGTGTGGTGTTGTGCTGTGCCTTGAAGGGACCCTGTATTCTTTTCACTCCAGCCACGGTCACTGCAGTCCCCGCTGCAGAGCCTGGCACGCAGAAGGCCTGGACAGTGCTGACACTGTTGGCTCGGTGGCATGCAAGGCATTCACTTGGCATGCCGTGGGCCACGTGCAGCCCCACCTGGATGGCAGGGTGCCAGGCATGTATATCTTTATTACCTGATCAGCCTGTGCCCCTCATGGGCAAACACAGGGTGAGGAGCAGCCTGCCTGGCTGCCCAGCAAGGCAAGCTGCCAAGCCTCTGTTCCAGGGGCTCCAGGGATCTCTGAGGGGGTCCCACCCATGCTGCAAGGAGCCCACAGGAACTGGTTTCTCCAGGGTTAACCAGCATAGGGGTTTAGCTAACTGCAGAGTGGAATGTGTGTGTGCAATGCCTGCTCAGCTGGCAATGCCCCACTGTGCTGAGGATCCCCAGAGGGATGTCAGCAGGGTGAGAGCCTGGGAAGAGAGGTCCACGCTCCTGTGCCCAACCTCCACGTTGCAGCAGCAGTGCTGGACACCAGGGGCTTTCCTGTTCGCCCCTCTTCAAGAGAGCTCTAAGCTGAGGTAGCTGAGGTAGGCAGTGCCCCACTTGCTGGGTACTGTCAGGCAGGGTAAAAGCAGAGCTCACAGGGCTGGGCAGACTGCAAGGCAAGGGAGGTTGCAGGGGGTGCTGGAGATGCCCACCAGTCCTTCCTTACTTGCCCCAGGCAGCCAGCAGGGAAGGGCAGGAGAAGCAGGGTGCTGGTGAACCATTAACTTGGCCCAGCAATCACTGGGGAGGGAGTCTCTAAATCTGTCAGCTGCAGCTTTGCAGCTGGAAATTCCCTTCTGACTTGGCCACAGTGGTGTTGGGAGAAGGGAGGCACACAGGGTCCTGGAAACTCCTGCCCCACGCCCACCCATGGGAACACGTGGGTGGGTGTGAGCAGGGAAGGGTGGGTGCAGGTGAAGGTATCTGTGCATGCAAGCAGCTTGGTGTGTGTGCATGCAAGGGTAGAATGTTTATGCTTGTTCATGACCATATGTGTGCATGTGAGCTTGTATAACCCATCACTGTGTGTGTGAGCTCCTGGTAGGTGTGTAAATTAGTTGGCCCATGTATTTTCCTGCATCTCTATGAATACACAGAAAATTGCCAGTGTGTGCGTGTCAGAAGAACTGCCCATGTGGGAGCATGTTTGCACGTCATATTGTGTTTCCTCAGGTGTGACTGATACAGGGAAGACATGTGTGGGTGCAAAATGGCCCTCCAGGAAGGGAGCTGGAGAGCTGCAGGAGCTGTGTGCTGGAAGATGTGTGGAGCTTTTCCGTAGGCTCTGCAGGTCCTACGGAATTGGATCCACCTCAGCACACGTCAAGGCCTGGACTGCCTGTAAGGAGAGATCAGTTCAGGCAGATCCTGTGAAACTTTAGGTCATCCCTGCTGTCCTCTGGCACCATAGCTGAGACCACCTATTGAGGGATTCTGAAACCACCTGTGAGGTATTCAGAGTCTGAGCTCCAACCTTTGAAAGTTCCTTCTCTGGATTCTCTCTCAGGTCCCCCACAAGGGGCTGCTTTTGTGCTCTGGGCTGCATGGACACGCCTCTGGACATTTAGTATTTTTGAGTAAGGTATTGACCTGTGTCCTCTCTGCCATTGCCCCAAATAATAGCTCCTGAAAGATGGAGATCAGAGAAGCCCAAAAGGTGGAAGGGAAGCACATGATCTGTGCTAGTGGGGTAACTCTTCTCCACATCCATGAGCAACCTCTGCTCTGTGTCTGTGAGCCTCTCGTGGGTGTGCAAACCAGTTGGGCTGTGTGTCTTGTTCTCTGTCCAACGGTGGAAAAGGGACCGCTCTTGTGGTGGCTGACAGCTCCTTACCACAGCTCCCTACTGCTCCTCATCTGGCAAAGCCAAATCCATTCCTTTCATAGCCAGGAGAAGCCCTGACAAAGGCCAATGCTGCAGCACTGGCCCAGTGGTCTGCAGAGAGCTGAACAGCCAGAAGACCCCCCTAGAAATCTCCCAGTTCTCCAGACCTCCACAGTTCCCCAAGAGCTCCCCATCCAATAGGACCTCAGCCCAGATTCCTAACACACCCCAGCAGTCCCTAAGGGCAGTTATTCCTCAGGTCCCCAGGAGTCCCCCAGATTCCTAGTAGTCCTGCAGCCATCCAGGCCCCCCGGAGCCTGCCGAACCCCCCAGGACCCAGCAGCTCCCGGCCGGGGGGGCGCAGCATCCTCGCCGTCGCCGTGGCAATCCGGGATGCGGGGCGGCGCGGCGGCAGGAGACCGCCAGGGGGAGCTGCGGCTCGGCACGGGGAACATGGGAATGGGAATGGGAATGGGAATGGGAATGGGAATGGGAATGGGAATGGGAATGGGATGGGATGGGATGGGATGGGATGGGATGGGATGGGATGGGATGGGATGGGATGGGATGGGATGGGATGCGATGGGATGGGATGGGATGGGATGTTCACTGGGTTGTGCAAGTGGCTGTGCTTGGGGAGCTGCTCATGTGGACGTGTGTGCGTGAACGTGTCCAACCCCCTGATTCCTATCCCCGAGCTCTTGTGGGCAGTGGTCAAGCAGGATTCTCTTCTGGGGGGGGGCTGGTGAAAGCCAGGGGTGGACAAGGGTGGCTTTGTGGGTGCAATGAGTAGCTGGAGAGCTCGGGGGGTGTAGATGTGCATGTGTAGCCCAGATCCCTGCTACTGGGCTGTTTACATTGCAAAACTTTCAGGATCTTCCCAAGGGAAAAAGAGGAAGTTTATAATAATTGGATTTAAAAAAAAAAAAAAAAAAAAAAAGAAGAAAAAAAATGTTAGAGAGAGAATCCCAGACCCCTGTAATGTTAATGACTTTGGTTTTTTTGTTTTGCTTTGGTGGTTTGTGTTTTTTTTATATTTTCTTTCCAAATGGGAAGAACGCAATTTTCCTTTCAATTTCCCAAGCTGAAAACAGCTGGGCAGAATAATTCAATCAAACTTGAAAATCTCTCTGGACTAAGACCAAAAATAGAGTATTTTTTCCCCAAAAAAAGAAGCACTTTAGGAAAGTTTGGAGTAATGCAGATAAGTCCAAAGAGGGGAGGCCAAGAAACCTGAATACCGGCTCAGCCCAGCTGAGTGGTCAGGCTTGGACAGTGGCACCCAAAAACCGTGTCAAACCCTTTTCTTGTGGCTACACTGTCAGCTCACTGCTTGTCACTGAGCAGGGGCTGCCTGGCCAGGGGCAGGGCTGGGTCCTGGCCAGGACTCCTGCCTGCCCAGCCCTGCTCTCCCGGGAGGCCTCTAACTCCCCTTCTCCAGGCTTTGCTGCTCCCTCCAGGGAGCTGCCTGGAACTGTCCTCCTCTGTCCTCACTCCATTTCTCAGTGACAGATGTCAGTCACCAGGCAGCCATGATGAATACACACCAACCCAAACCTGCCCAGGAGGGCCTGGATTATCCCATCCCTGCCCATCATGGGGGTTCTGCTGACCCAACCCAGCTCCTCCTGGCTCTGCCCTGTTTCTGGGACTCCAGTGCGTGCGGTGGCTGCCTCTGGAGTGGGGGACATGGGTACTGGAGGATGTCCAGGACAGCTCTGCTGCAGCATCTCCGAGCACTCAAGCCAGGGAATATGCTGGGACCCAGGGTACCTAAAGCAGAGTGCAGAGAGTGGGTGTGATCTCTCGAGGGACAGGAGATGGGGTGCACAAGGACCCCAGACATGCTCTTTGGAGACACTGCCTATGAACATGAGGGGTGTGTGAACTTCCTTTTCCTGTTGGATCCTCTCCAACACTGGTGTCTGGGCCCTGCTCTGTCCACATAATTCCAGCATCCTGGGATTGGCTGTGCTGGCCTGGCACACACTAAGCAGTGTTTGTGAGGGCAGTGGGCTCTGGAGGCTGTCAGGGAGCTGTCTGACACCAGTGCACCCTTTAGCTCCCTCATCCCAGAAGAGCAGAGCAGAGGCTTTCTCACTCCTGGGTCCTGTTTCTGACTGCCAACATCTCACCGTACCCAAGTATCTTCCACTCCATGGCCTCATTACTTACCCTGTGACAGAGGCAGCAGTCATCCTCCATCTCTAAGGAGAGGGATCTGCCTCTGCGTACCCCTGGAAGGCAGAGCTGCAGGAAAAGTGATTGCTGGGGTGGCTTCATGCCCGGATCACTCCACATGGGACCAGCACTTCCCACCCATCCTTGTGGCTGTGCATCCCTCCCCACAGGAGGCACCTGGAGCAGCCCTGTGCAGATGTGCTTGGGCAGTCCTACCCAGACACCTCCCTGCTGCCTCAGCCAGCAGCCCGGCCCTTTTGGGGACATGCCAAAGGCAGTCAAGGGTTGGGAACCCCCATTGTGGTCACACTGGCTCTGCCATGGGGTGTCCCCCTGCACCACCAGTCCCTGTGGTGTGTGGGGTGCAGCGTGCACGGGGGCTTGCTCCAGCCCCAGGGGATGGTGCCCACAGCAGGGCTTCAACCCCTTCCTCACACCCTGCTCTGATCGAGGCACCCTCTGCCAGGTGCTGGGAGGAAGATGAAGAGGGAAGACCTGCCTCAGTGCAAGGATGCTCCCAGGGATG